TCTTGGAACTAGTAAACAACTACAATTCCAACGAGAAAGGCCTTATTAACTCTTCAGAAATCAAACCAGAGTCATCCAACAATCGGGCATAGAAGCAAAAGGGCTATGCTGATGGGAGGAGGCTTAAGGGTGATTGAACCTTTGAGAGTTTGCTGGTTGACAATCCCCGCTCCTGTTATAACAAAGGAGGCAACCAGAGCAATATAGGTTCCCTTTTTTGTAGTCATGGGAGAGGTGGGGGCAACATGGCTTGAGATGGAGACACTTAGGTAACTTCATAAAGGATATTCAGAGAGTTTGGGAAGCTTTTGGCAGTGGGGAAGGAGCTCTTACAATTCTCCATGTCTTGAACATGGTGATGTCAAATATGAAGAGAAATGGATGTGAGAGAGCTTGGTTTTATTGGGGAGCCTTTTGGTGGGTGGCCAAGACTATATTTGGTCTGGTCCAGGCTCCCTAAAGGCTAGTTTGGCTCACTAAAAGTTGGTCAAAGAGTTCAAGCCTCAGATGCCTAGTGTATGGTGACATGGCTAAGTATGTGGTTTTCTCCTCTAGTATTTGAACTTAGCTTAGTTATGTCTTTTGTGTCACCCACATGTCATGATGGGTCACAATGGGTCTTGACTAGCCCATGTGTATTGGGCCAAGGCAATTGGGTCAGGGGCTTAAGCTTAGGATTCCATTTTTTTTGGGCTACCCTTATTTGGTTGGTCTTAACCCAAAGGCTTAGGCCTTAAGGGAATTTAATAATTGACTTAATTAATAAATTAAATTAATTAGGTGAATTATGGGGGTTGACCACATTGTGTCAATTGGATCCCACAGATGGTGTGATGTCATGATTAGGTTAGAAGATGGTCATATGGATGTTAATATGGTCAATTCGTCCAAATTTCAGCAAAATTGGGCTAGAGCCAATTAGATTTGACCATCTTAAGGTGCCACCAAATTTTGGGGTCAAATAGTTATGTTAGGGTTTAGGATTGATTTTTGGTTTTAGTGGGGTTAGCGAGTCCTTTAGTGGGTCTATGGATCAATTTGGGTAGGCCGCACCCACAAGATGAATTTTATGGTTACAGTGGTACCTAGGGTCATAGAAAGCACAACCCTTGTCAAGGATAATGTGCTTGTAGGTACAGTGAGTCCTCGCAAAAGTGAGGTCAACATCTTGCAACACACGTGGTTTGATCTTTTTAATTGAATTAAAATTTTACATGTTTAGATCTTCTCTCTCACTAATGATGGTCATGGTGTGTGGTCCAAGTTTTGTTAGAGATGTAGATTATATTATCATAACTTCTAGATTGTGCTTAGAATTTTTTTCCGAACCTTAAATATCCTTAAGAATTCACTAAGAAAAAATTCCTAACAAATCTAATAACTGATAGGAATTCAAAGTGCTACAATAACTATTATAGTCTTAATAATAATGACTATTATTTAGATTAATTTAGTTCACTAAAGTCTTTAAGTGCAACTAATTGATTACATGTCTAAATAAGACCTCCTTTAGATTGTGATTGAGCATGGATAAAGCCATAATTTTCTCTCTATCTTTGACTTCAAAAAGTTATACTAAATTCTAAAAATATTATTTACAAACGCTCATGTTTCTTTTACCTAAATCTCACTTAATTTTAAAAAAAATTTAGACCTTTTTTATCATGAAAGTTTAAGTGATGAATTGCCTAATGAACCAAATATTGAAACTTTTACTGAAAGAGAAAAAATGAGGAAGTGTTCCAAGGACAACTCTTTTAAAATAGCAAAAAATAATTTACATCTTATTGTATCAATATTATATTACTAAAGCTATTGTCTAGAAATAATACAAATAGTTGATTGGATCCTTCTTCCCTTGTGTACATTGAAACGTTAGAATTCAAACTTTCTTGGAGGTTTCACTTGTTTTGTTACAACTATTGTTAGCTGGCTGTTAAACAAAGTATTATTTTAATTGCTCCTTAAGAAGTAAGTTTAATCAATTAGATGTCAAAGTCAGCGCTCATCGACTTCATGGCTACGGAAAATAGGCTTGATGGTTTTTAATGGATCAAAGAACATATAGATCAATTATAAAAAAATTATAATTATGTTGTGATTCGTAGACATACTTATAAATATTGGGATCATTCAAGTAAGTATTTTTCTTCTTTAATTGAGTAGTGCACTAGTGATGAGATCATTCTGATTCATAAACTTGATTCATGTTTTTTCTTGCAACTCTACTGTTTGACTTCTAGTTCGTAACTTCTATTTTTGTTTTCCTTGTGCAAGGGGATAATTAAATTAAGTTTATTCATAAGATTAAAATCTTAAAAATAATGATAACTACAAAATTAGATGAAAGATGATAGAAAGAAGTGTTTATTAACAGAAGCTTTAAGATTTTATAAAATTGACAAATGTTCAACATTTGGGCAGATATATCTTTTTTCTTTTAGTTCACCATTTGACCCTTTATTATTGGTTGGGATGCTTTCCTTCAAGAAATGCTACATTGAAACAAATAATTAAAATTATAATAGTTTTATGTGATTAATTTGTTACAATGGGTAAATGTCATGCTTTAAGTGATGGATGAGTTCACTAGAAATTGCTTACTAACTTTATTAGTATTTTTTGTACAATGGAAAACTTGAAAATTGCATTCTAACTTTTGGTTAGTCGAGGAAGTAGAGGTGAGTAACTACATCGAGCAGCATTGACAATGTCAGAAAATTGCTTAAATCACTTTTGAGTGAGTATAATTAAATGAATCGACCTTAGGTGGCCCGCCTTATTGATTTTATCTTGTTTATGGATTTTGAACTCAGTATATTAATAATTTTAACAAATTCAATAGCCTTGAACCCTCCACTGGTGAGATTTTGGTTTAGCTTAGACGTATCGCTTGGCACTTTATTTATACGCCTTGTTCAAGCTTTAACACTTGATAAACGAAATATGCCAAAACTATAAGTAAATTTACATAATTTTACTGTGTAATGCTCACTATGAAAATGAAAAAGACTTATTAGTAATTTAAATAAACTTGGGTGACTTGTTATTATTTTGATCCATATAACAAGAGTTCAGTTAAGTTCAAGTGAAAGATATTGGTTTAATATCAAATAGATATGCTGACAAACCTTCATATCTTGAACTAAATGTTTTATAAAGTTGTTGATGAATTTGTTGGGTGATTTTTTTTATATGGCGACACAATTAATTACATGACCACTTTGTTAAACCCACTTTACATTGCAAATAAATTTAATAACCATGCTATATTGGATTTTTGTAAATATTGTTTTATTATCTTAACTCTTTGAATTAATAAATAATGTTAAAAAAATATATTGTGAATAATTAAATAAAAAATGAATAAGCATTTTGATCGTAATTAATTAGATGAGTCTAACTACCAATTTTTCTCTATTTGCACTTGCATTGTCAGTAAACAGATGCTAAAATTTGACAAGACATAACTTGATCGTGAAAAATTAAACTTTTTGCATATGCAATGAATGAGTTGAGCTCTTAGATTCAAGTTGGATCAATTTCATGTTTGCATTGTCAGTAAACAGATGCTAAAATTTGACAAGACATAACTTGATTGTGAAAAATTAAACTTTTTGCATATGCAATGAATGAGTTGAGCTCTTAGATTCAAGTTGGATCAATTTCATGTTTGCATTGTCAGTAAACAGATGCTAAAATTTGACAAGACATAACTTGATTGTGAAAAATTAAACTTTTTGCATATGCAATGAATGAGTTGAGCTCTTAGATTCAAGTTGGATCAATTTCATGTTTGCATTGTCAGTAAACAGATGCTAAAATTTGACAAGACATAACTTGATTGTGTATATATCTATATATATATATATATATATATATATATGCCTTATCATAGCGAACAAAAATCACACAAACATTTTTTAACGAAGCCAAGAAGAAAGTTAAAAGGATCAACATCAAACACATCAAACAATCCCTATAATATATATATTGCTCTAAATTAGTGTGCAAAAATTTATAATAAGAACATGGTCGATGACGCATAAAAAAGAATTGGTATTATTTTAATGACCTAGAAGCACAAATTTTCGGTAACCATGCTAACATGAAATTGATCCAAAATTGGCTTTAACTTTGCTCAAATTTGACGTAAATGACAATTATGTCTCATTGTTAAAGGAATTATGAGTCAGGCTCACACTAGTTTTTTTCAATGCATATTAGATTTTGATTAAACTTTTTGCATATGCAATGAATAAGTTGAGCTCTTAGATTCAAGTTGAGTTGAGTATATGCTAAACCCATATATATCTATATATATATATATATATATATATATATGCCTTATCATAGCGAACAAAAATCACACAAACATTTTTTAACGAAGCCAAGAAGAAAGTTAAAAGGATCAACATCAAACACATCAAACAATCCCTATAATATATATATTGCTCTAAATTAGTGTGCAAAAATTTATAATAAGAACATGGTCGATGACGCATAAAAAAGAATTGGTATTATTTTAATGAACTAAAAGCACAAATTTTCGCTGTCACATAAAAATATCATACAATCGAAGCAACGTAGAAAGTTGAAAGCGTCAACTTCAAATAATATCTGCTTATAAATAACATCCGATTAGTCATTAATAAAATTATCTTAACAGTTTAAAATGCATTCATCATGTTTTGACAAAATTTTCTCATTATTCTTATTAATTTTTTGTTTTTTAGCGAAAGCAGCAGAGATAGTCAGTAGTTGGTTTAGGGAAACTTTCCTCTGTAATCTTTCCCTTCTATATAAGGTTTCATAGCCATTAATAACTGGACGAACAAGCTTTTCTTCTTCATCTTAGAATGATCCCAAGATCAGTCATCTCCTTCCTTTACCTTATCGACCTCATCCAATATACCATCTCCTTCCTCCTGCATCGTATCGGTCTCAACCCATCCTTCGAAAGAGATCCGACGCCATGGGAGAATGAGGAGCTCTTACTCATGTCCGTCGGCATTTCCATGCCGTCAGCTACTTCTATTGCCCAGTCTGTCAAGAAGAAGCTGCCTGTTATCGAGTACCAGAGCTTCCTCAGGAGAAAAAGAAAATCAACGATGGCTGGGTCTGCCCCGGATTGTTCCATTTGCCTTCAGTTCATAGAGCCTAAGGATCACGTTCGGGAGCTTGGAAATTGTTGCCATGAATTCCACGTGGCTTGCATTGACCGGTGGTTGGACCTTGGCCGGTTTTGTTGTCCGCTCTGCAGAGCAGCGGTGGTTCCGCCCGAGATCTTCCTAAGAGAACGGCTTTCGATTTTGAAGGTTCTTCTATTTGGAAATGACTTGGTGGCTAGAAGTTGTGAATACTTCAACAGTGAATAATAGGCGGATTAATTTTCACAAATGAATTTTATTTTTTTGTTGGGAAAGAATTTACTTGAGGTCTTGGTGTTCGCCGAGTTTTGTGTGACTAATGTTTTTTTTTTTTATGCATTTTCTTCATTTCTCTTGGAAGAAAAACACCTAGCAAAATTTGGGGCCTACCTTTTTTTATTTTTTATTCTTATAAAACAAGTAATAATTTCTGAGGTTGTCGTTTGTCACGACCTAAATCCTCACATCTTCCAGGCTATTTGTGTGATCGTTTCACACAAATGTAAGCCCTAACTAATAAAATTGGCAGGATGAAACACTTAAATTTTTCTCCTCAAAACTAAAACCAAACATTAGGATAGCTTGGAAAGTCACCGGGGTTCTCCTCTGGATCTTCCTAGTTCTTCCTCCTTTGGATTCTACAATAAAATGTTCCAAATTTGAACCAATCCCTATTCACACATCTACGTCCGATCTCATTGAAGAGTCCTACCCTTTGAAGTTCCTTGAAGATAATATTTCCCTATTTTTATCGAGAGTTTTATGAGGTGACTTCGGTTATTTAAGATGTAATTACTATAGGGGCTTGCCCTTATAGGAAGCATGTCCGAACCCATCTTAATATAAACCCTATTTAATCTTTTATGTTAAATAAGGAAACTTGTCGTCAAATATAAAGGTTTCGCAGACCAAAAGGATGTCATAGATTTTTTAGTTTATTTGATTGAGCCTCATCCTCAAGTCTTGTGTTTTTCCTTCGGGAAAGATACATGATTTGAGGTACAATGCTCTTTCATTTAAACTATGAAAAATATGGGGTCAGTTTGATTTCATATTTTGCTAAAACTAAATATATATGGAAATTAAAACTTCCTTCTGAAGCAGGCGACGGGATTTTGATTCTGGTGACTGACAGCTTCTTACGGGCAACTCCTCCAACCAAAAATAGTGCCAACAGACCCACTAGCCTTCCTCTGTAAATTTCTTTTAGAATTGATAAAAATTACTATGGGGTTCCCTAATAAAAATAATTTCAATTACAACATTAAGTGTTTGTTCGGGGTAAGTGATTTTTAAGAGATTTTCAATTTGAAGACCAAATAAGTAATACAAAAGATCTTCCATCTAAGCATATAATATTCAGTAATAGGTGACAAAGCCCCTCTAACACTTCACTCATACTTTGTCACAATGTGTTTAAGTGTCTGTTTGGGGCACCTGCAGCTTATTGATAAGCTACTAATAAACAGCTGATCTAGATAAGAAGTTGAGCAGCAGCTGATCTAGCTAAGCTGGTTGATTGTTTGGATTGTGCTATTGAAAAATAGTTTTTTTGAAGCTGTTTCTAGATAAATGACCATTTAGCCTTTGTGTAGTAATAATGTTTGCAATGGAACTGTCATAACAAAATATTTGATACTTAAAATGAAAAACATCATTTCATAAAATCATAAAAAATTAGAATATAAGCCTCGCATAAAAGTGAGTATTAAGATTTTATTAAAAAAAACTAATAAAATTACAATTAGAAAGATGATAATATTAAATTTAAAATGTAGAGTGCATATGTAACAAGCAACATCATCTTCCAGGGATACCATCCCACCCTGATCACTATCGATAGTGGAATCTATCAGATTGTCTCCCCACCAGAAGAAGTCACACTTATTTGTGTTACTCCACCTATAGAACTATCTCCCATGGTTATGTGTTCGATGTGACATTAGTTGGGAAGTCAGCAGTCTGCAATACCACCAGGGCAGTGGTTTAAAGGTTTTTGAATATCACGAGCTCATTTTCCCTAAAAAATTCAAAAGAGAACTCATTATTCATGACAAAAGATTAAACTTATAAAAAATATACAAGAAAAGGAAATAAATAGAAAATGCATTCCATAAATAAACATAAATTGATAAAAAAAAGTAATTATTTATAGTAATGTACAGGCGTAAGGTCTCAGAGAACATACTACTCCAAGAAATGAATCTATGACTACAAGAAAATAGTAGATTTTATCGAAAGATGACTTCTTGGTTGCCTTTAACCAACTTAAAACCAATCTCCGATGTCACATTTGCATAACACCAAAAATGGCCATCCAGAATGTCCTCATAAACCACTGCAATGAAAAGAAGAGAGAAAATTGGTTTCCTTCATTAGGATATCACATGTGATATTAACCAACAACAACTTATAGGACATTAAGAAGAACCCGTAAGCTCAAATGTCTCATCACGGACCTTTCAAACCCACCAAAAAAATAATTAAATGCAAATGGAAAAATATGACAAACATTGAGAAAATTGTAAAATAAAAAATATCAATAATATAAGTGACATAAAATAAATATAGAATTTGTAAAATAAATAAGAGTTGTCCAATCAACATCCAATAATGGCATCAGTAATACACTCTCCAAATTTAACCATTTATACGACACCTTTATCATCCTGAGTGACACTTTCCTTGGATTCCAATTCTAACTGTGATATAGATTGTCCTATGTGATAATCAAAAGCTTCTGGTGGGACCTGTAAGTGGTCATCATCAACTATGCTGAAGTCAACATCATCTTATAATGATTTCATCAAATATAGTTGTGGAGCATCATTGTAGCCACAATAATATGTTGTTTTTTTCAAAAATAGATACATTGACATATCACACATTATGATTCATTTCTTCTTCCATACACCATCTAAGGGGGAGTAACTTTTGGAAAATATTTTTTTCCTGCCCTGAGCAACATTGTTGGATCTTCTGAAATCAGAAATGTGATATTTCCTTTCAAGAAGTGGCTTTAGAAACCCCCTTTGTAGGGGATATCCATGATCGAACAAGTAATATTTTACTATCTTAAATACAATATTAATAACAAACTTAAAGAAAAAAAATCACAGTGGTTGATAGTTTAACAAACCTCGAGGTCGGTGAGGGAATTCGTGTCTTTGATTTTTTGTCAGAAAATAAAAAATATGACTATCATGTGCACTGCATTCCCAACAAACTATCACAAAAATAAAACACAAGTTGAAGTCGCATAAGATCATCACATTTTGTGTGGGTGATCTACAATGTCTAATAAATGTGACCTTTTCATTATTGGATACACGTGCATCTTCGTGGGTGTCGTCAATCACTCTAATAAAGTTATAAAAAACTAAATAAAGCTATGTTAAGCACAAAAACTGTTTTGACTTCCAATTTTAAAGTGTTAAAAGGATTTATATTGAAAAATGGCCTATGCAGTGGGTAATCTGTAATCTTTGTTGGAATCATCCTGAGATTTTGGTCCTCTGGCTTAATAATTTATCTTAACAAGTAAACAAGAGCTTTTAAATCCACTGATAAATATCTGCTAATTTTCTCTAATGAATGTTGTAATCGCTTCATCGCTCATATCATAAATTAATTTTGTAATAAAATATAGAGGGTTATTGCTAAAACTTCTCTTATTGTTATTCTTGGTGAGTCTTGGAGTCCATGATGGCTATGTAGTTCATCAAGCAGATCCATAAATATAGGTTGTGTCATACCAAACATGTTAGTAAATCTTGTGGGGTGTCCATGTACTAGCTTTCAAACCCATTTATAACAAATATAAGTGGATGTCATGCATGGAGTTCAATCGATGTATGAGTTTTAGCATTCGTAGAAGAAACATACAGTAGCCACAATATTTCTTCGTTGGCTCTTTTTGTGAGTCAATGCTAAAGAAGTGGTAAGTTTGGGTAATATGTGTGAATTAGACAACATTAAAAGAACATATAAAATCTAAAGACAATGTATAATGAGAAATAATAATTTTAGAGCAACATATAAATTGTTCATCTAGTAAAAAAACATATAAAACAGATATCCCATTAAATGAATGAAAAAAAATCGAAGCCACTAAACAATAACTCAACAAAATCAATTATTTGTGTTGTCCATAAAAAAACATAAATAATCAACCAAACAGTTGGGAAGGCATCTTCATGAATATTTTTCTGTGGTTTGGATCCTCCAACAACTTCATGGAGTTTAGAAACAACTCTTATCCCCACAAACTTCAGGATGTCTCCAGAACTCAAAAAATGTTATCTAAGAAGTGCCACCATGGATTGTGTATTCATACATCAGCTTTATTATTTTGCATTTGACAAAAGAAGCTCCTTCTTATTTCCTTTTCTCCACTTTAAGATGCTTTGATAAGCAAGTGGACTCCAGCTCCCTTTAGTTCCGGTTGGGGCCTTCTCCGAACCCACTTACTTGCTTGGTCTCTAAGTCCCTAGTATGCTTGCAAACCCATGCTCACTTGAGGTGAACTCATGAGTGCCTTTTGCAACAACTCCACTGAACTTACAGTCCAATTTCTCCAGAAGGTCAGGATCAATACTACTAAATTTGAATTTCTTGGTGGTTGACACTACTTGCAACATACAAACAAGTTTATTACTTAAAATAACTTAGTAGGATAAAGAATGGAAAAATAAGTAATAATTGGATAAGTTAGTAACAATAATTTCTTAGCTTACCTAACCTTTGAACCAACTAATCTCTATTTCACTGAATCCCAAACAAAGCTCGTGGATCCCCATTTTAGTTTCCTACATAATTTTCAACCTTTCTTAAAATGATCCCACTTGTTCTTAAATTACATCATATCGTACTCCCTTCTTATCATTTCCTTGAACTTCCTCTTAAAATTTTGCCACCCTGCTTGGTTGAAATAGGTCATCGGTCCATTTTTTGGCTCAACCTCCTTAAGTCACAAGTCACAAAATATGACTGTGACTTGCCTATCGCACATGTCTGATGAACCAAGTTCTTTAGTTTTAACCATTGTGTTACCAGAGAGCATACAACAATCACCACCCAACCCTCAGCACAACCACCACCTAAATTTCAACATAGGACCCAGCCACCCCCGACACAGTCACCACCCAAACCCAAGTACAACCACAACCCAATCCATAGCCCATTGACCAAAGGAAAATATGTTGAGATTTTCAT